ATTGTGATGCTGTATTTCTGAGTGTTTTATGTGCTGCAGAACAGGAACCTGCTGTAAAACAGCAATTTTGCTGAGTCAGGCTTGATTTTTAATAATCTTTTCCTGTTAAATAAATAAATCAAAATCAGATCAAGGATGTTTGGTTTTCTATTRGAGGTACACAGATAAATTGGCATTGATTTCACCTCATTTTGGAAGATCTGATATTGGCTGACAATTACATGAGAAGTTGATCTTACCCACTCAACTCATCTACCTCYACAAAGGTCTGAAAATCATCCACTGTCCCCTTTTGCTCTGCCGTGAGCACGACATAATATCCAGTTAAAACAAGTTTGTATCGTTTGAAGGGTATTGTTCAATGTTTTTCATTAAAATAAAATTAGAACATTGAAGATGTTTTGTGACCTTATAACACCTCACAGTGTTAGTTGTATATTAAAAAAATCAATCTGCATCAGCTRAAATCAGAATCKGCATGTCAGGCTTTTTAAAGATCAGTGATCGGCCAGAAAAATGCAATAGGTGCACCCCATGTTTCTATCCTGGACACGATGCCTCTGTGATCTGATCATGGATAAAGGAAAGGAGTTGGATGGATATCTTTTTCCTAAAGGTTTTGGACATTAACCTTTTTGGATAAGAATGATTTGGACCATCGTGTMATGAGAGATTTCTTGTTGGGTTTGATAGATCTGTTTGAAGAGTACCCATGGGTTTTGTTCTTGGGTCAATAAGATGCTCCCTCTACATCCTCATGAGCTCCATTCTGAARAAATATCACCTAATTTTTCAGACTTCAGCAGGTGTTGTTCAGGTTTTAAGAAAGAATTCGACTTTGTTTTGTTTGTTGTCCATTTGAGTCATTGGTACTATATATATTTCTACTCTGAGTGGCTCCCTTCTTCAGGGATCACCACAGCAAGTAAAGTCCCTTGAAAGATTTGGTTTTAGGCTGGATGCCCCTCCTGAACCATGGGCTGAAACCTGCAGCTAGGATTACAACACGCTGCTGACCACTGACCTACCACTTGTGGTTACCATTATGATCGCCTGCTTTTATTTTGAAGACAACAACTATAGTTTCCTGTATTACGCAGCTGAACTGTACCTAACTTAACAGAAAACTTCATGCTACCTGCAAGTAGTGAATAAACAGTTTACTGATGGACTATCAGTGTGGTACTATAGGCTCCCCATTTTTCAAATAAATCTTTTGTGGGATTTCATAATTTACTGAGATTATTTAATCCACAAATACATCACAGTTTGTGTTATTATAGCAGTGTACACTGTTTCGACCATAAAAGCAGTTGATGAGAGGCCACTCATCTGTCCTGTGTCAGTATGTGTCTGGCTGGTACACTGGAGCAGTTAATTCGCAATGCACCAACTTGCTGACAGCCATCACGCATTTGTAACTATTTGCAGTCCCCAAAGGCGTCTGCAGGATTCGGCACAGCTGTCCTGGGATCAGAAGGGACCCCAGCTGCAGCTACTCATTCACCTGGGTTAAAAAAGGCCCGGGGAGTTTGCAGCGGGGCGGTTAGTTCCACGGAACTGTGACAGCTGTTGGCAGAGCTGAGGTCATCTTAGGTCATGTCAGACCTTACAGCAGCCACGCTGGACAGTTTCTGGMCCTGATACTTTTCTGTGTGTGTGGATAATCCTGTGGAAACAGACTGGGGGTGGGGGGGAGGGGTGCAGGCAGTGTATCGCAGCCTCAACTCCTCATGAGTATTCCGGCTGCAAACTACTGCAGCTCTTCCTCAGCAGCAGCCAAGGAAAACTCCTCTCTCCACCCCCTCCGCTGCCTTCCATCTCCTTCTTCTGCTCATCCTAATCCTTTGCTCCGAGTCAGCAACTCTCATCTCCCCTGATGAAAGATGATTACCCAGCTGCAAAGGCAGGAGGAGGAGAGGAAGGCACCAGGGACAGTTAAATACAAGATGAAGGTCAAATAGAGGGCTTCTTGTTTGAACACGCTGCGTCTCAGTCAGACAAACACAAATAATGCAGCTGACTGGGTGAGTGAATGGAACCAGGTGCCCAGAGGATGTTTGTTTCTGTATGGCTGGCACACCGAGGTCTGTATTTCTTCTCAAATGAAAGCATCTAACACAGTGACACTGCCAAGATTATGTTGGTAGACCAACATTTAAACTGATCACAAGATTTTTAAAGTCTTGACCTGCATTATTGACAGATGACGATCAATCCAAGGTGCCGAGGCTCATGTCTCAATCTAATCTAAGGGAGTAGGTGGTGTTTATCAGACCAACATAATCTAACACAGTGACACTGCCAAGATTATGTTGGTTTGATATACACCACCTACTCCCTTAGATTAGATTGAGACATGAGCCTCGGCACCTTGGATTGATCGTCATCTGTCAATAACAGAATGCAGGTCAAGACTTTAAAAATCTTAGTGATCAGTTTAAATGTTGGTCTCTTGCTTTGGTTCTGCTTCTTGCCTACTCCACAAACTGACGACCAGCCAGGTCACGTCTAATTAGATGTCTCTTCTGAGAGGGTTTCGACCCCATAGCACAGGCAGTATAGGGAAAAGCTAGGGGGYCCCACAAATGGAGGATGATTTTTTTAATAGAACTTTTTATCAGARTATTGTTGATTTAGTCGGTTGAATAATCACTGTTTCAAGTTTRTGAAGGTAACTTGTTCTGTGGGTTTATCAGCCTGCTTTGCTGAAATTGGAGGYATACTGTATCTGTTCACAGAATTTCAAGGCAAACCATGTTTTTTAGTCTTCTTAGAAACGCTGTCTGTTATGGAGGATTTTAATATAAGTTGCCAGAAGTATGTGTTTATYGGAATCGGCAGGTAAGGCTTTTTAAAGATCGATGATCGGTCAGAAAACTGCAATTGGTGCACCYCTAGTTTCTAATCTGGACCTGTTGCCTCTGTGACCTGACAGTGAATAAGTTGCACAAAGTGAAATATGAGACATTTACTGAAGTCATGATTACATAAACCAGAGCGACTTTTTGCCAGACCCACACAGGAGTCTGACCTCAAGAAGTCTTATGTCGTTGCACTTCAGCTCGCTAGTGTTTATTTTTTTGTTTGCTTCAAACATTTCWTATTCATATTTCACATACATGTATTTGAGCATGACATATTAAAGTTACTGACTCGYATGTTGGTTTAAAATGTCAGTTCTATTACATTTGGGTAAGTGTACAGTACTATGCTCTGGTAGTGTCTGCAAAAAATCGTGTCCACTTTCATCATCTAAGTTGCCCATCCCTGTTTTAGAGTAATGATCTTGGTGATTAAGTGGGAAATGTTGGTCTGGATCAAACTGAATGTTGTGATATAGGTTTGTACTGACTTTAGCGTGTTGACAACATGAACTGGTTTGTCTCCATTTCTGAGTCTCCCACTAATTGTAACGGATTCTCCATTGACAATACTTAAAAGCAACGTATCGACTGGTGAAAGGACAGTCTTGAGTTAAGGGTCACCACTGTTGGCTCCCACCCCTGAAGTCTTACAGAATCACAGCTGGTTCTCTTGCTAGAAGTGGCATGRCAACAATAAAAGTTTGTCATTGATGTTGCCCTCCTTACAATGAAAACGTATCAAATAAAATGTAATAAAATCAACCCAGAATCAATAGCATGTGACTAATCAGTGTTTTATTACTTGTTAAGCAAAGAAAAAATAAAGTTAAAGTTAAAAACAGARTTCACAAATGATCATTTTCTAACATTGCCAATTTTAAGTGTCTTCTGTGACCAGTCGCTCTCGTGGATTTTGGCCCAATCTTCTTTAGTGTTGCTTCAGTTGTCTAACATTGGATAAATCATATTTTTTGTGTTTTTAACCAGTAGGTTTGCTGCTATGTTTTGGGTCATTTTATTTAATGACCCAGTTTGGGCCAAACTTCAGCTGATGGGCAAATTCATGGTCAACTTTGTAGCTTCTACCACTGTGTTATAGTAATAGTTYATTATAATGAAAATTTGACAAAAAAAAAGGTGCATCTAATTTTTTTTTTACCTAAACTGTCCAGGATCTCCAAGTCAAACCAGGATGCCTCTCTTACCTGGGCTGTATATTAGCAGCCAAATTTCATTTTCATAAGCACAATAATTAGCATAAAACATTCACACGCTCTGCGCCTCGCTCATTGTTTCCTGTCCACAGCGGTTCACCGGGGGGGAGCTGTAACTCTCAGCACGGTTGCGCTCTTTCCGTCTCCACGTAATTGCTCCATCAATCCAGTTTGAAAAAAATATAAAAAAATAAAAACAAAATGAACTCCTCCGTGCCACATACACACGACTCATTTAGCTCCCAGTGTAATGAGAACTGTTGCGTAAAGGCACAATCAATATCTTATGCGCTTGTTTACTGCACCCACCAGACTGACAGCCACTCAATATATGACAAGAAGTTTAATGGGGTTTTGTTGTGGTGTGGGGGGTGGGGGATGGAGCTAATGTCCATAGGGATGCAGGATGGGTAAGAAAAAAACAAAAAAAAATTAATATAGAAAAAATGCCTGGAGCAGCCGAGAGCAATAAAAATGTGTCCAAACTCCTGTGTGGAAATWGAAAAATCAAAGGTGACTAAATGCAGAAGAATGAACACAGAAAGCACGTTTGTCTGTAATTCAGTTTCAGAGCGGAGGAACTCATCAGTCCCGTTCAAACTTGTGATCTATAAAACACATTTACTTTAAAGTATAAAAGAAGAATTCTTCTTGTACAGTATGGTAACGCCACCCTCCACACGCTTTAATCAACACTGCTGGGTCAGCAAAAACATACAAATCAATCCCGAAGAAGTTGTTAACGTGATTCACTGCCTTAACATGATCTGCTTTTCTAATGTTTGACTTAAGCAGGCTGAGGGACAAGTATGAAACAAACAGCGAAAAACAAACAAACAAATGAACAGTTACTTCATGCAAATGTAACATGAAGAGCTGACGTCACTGTGGAGGACTCTCCTCCTCTTCTTCATCCTCAGATTCTTCCTGTTGGCTTTTCTTCTGTGGGCAGAGGAAACAAGCAAGGATTTGACCATAAACAGCAAAATATACAACTGATGGTTGAGTTGGGACAAAAATTTACAAATAGTGGGCCTCATGCAAGAACCGTTCGTACGCACAGATTTGTTCTTAAATTGTGCGTACG